TTATAATACCACTGTTGGGGGAGATTTTCAATAGAGAGCATTGAACATTGTGAGACTTTCCTTTCTAGAGAAACACCTTGTGAGAGACAGACCACTTACTCACCTAAAACCTTAAGGTTTTAGGTGTATAGGTTCTCCCACTTATAAATGCTCAAGTCTCCAAATTTCTAACCAATGTGAGACTATTACTCATACTACTCACACTTGTTATACTTAACATATATGACCATCTGGTCTAACTTTCATTGTATAAACTCATCAAAATCCAACTGTAGTTTTGTCTGAAAGTAAAGTAACAATGTCCCAAGGGTTATTCAAATGCAATGCAACAATTTCTTCCACCATATCCTAACGCTAATTAAATCAGTCATAACTTCACCTGTAGACTTAGGAATAAACATATAATTCAAAGCAGATGCAAAAGAGACATAGGAAGTAGAGATATAGTCATAATTTAAACCACAAGCATATTTAGGATTAGGACGATGAGATTGAATACCTTTTTGTAATGCTATTAGAAGGTCAAGTTCAGGTGACGTAATCGGAGGAGAAGTTAGAGCAAAAGATAGTGTTGGTGGATTAATATCATCTATAACCTCCAATGCACAAAATGTCTGTTGTTGGTAGACCTGCAATGAACATGTAATGGGTTTGGAAGAAGAGACGGTGGGATTCAACACTGAAGAGTTTGGTCTGCGACTTAGTGGAATTTTCAAAGGGTTTGGTCATTTATCAAGTTCGACAAGTCAAAGGAGTTCGACTAGAAGTAGATTCAAATTTCAAACTGAAATAATAGTCTTTGGGTCTTATCCAAAATTCCAAGGGCACGTGGAGGACATTGGAAGGCTAGTTAAGCATACAGAGATGACGTGTCGGATGGAAAGGCATTTGAGCGTTGGAAGATCATTAGTTTTGTAGCATTATATAAATGAGTTCTAGTGTTAGGATTAGGGGTGGCAAAAACCATTGTAAACTTCAATATACACTCAAAGTAGCCACACACAAGCAAGAAACTATTTTTCTGAAAAAATGTACTTGTCTACCACTTTTACACTTATCCAAATAAATTTCTTTTCCATTTAAGTTACTTTTACTTGTTTTATTTACTATCTAAGTATCTAGTTTCGACCCAATCAAAATCAATTATTGCATTTACTTTCAAAACTTAACTACTTTTCTATAATGGTCACCATTTGATACAAATAATATGATAGCATTAAATGCACACTTTCTTTCCCCAGAAACTTAGCACAAAGTTGCCCCAGGATTTACTAGTTTGGTCCTTCAAGAAATAAATTAAAACTAAGTGATTATTTATATTTAAAAAAACCGGTGAATAATCATTGAAGTTAGGGACAAAAACAATGATATCCTTTTTGTACACGTGAGTAGCCTAGAAAGATACATTTGGGAGATTTTGGTAGAAAGTTTGTCTTTGTTTGGACTGAGGTTATGAACAAAGCACGTGCAACCAAAGTCGTGAAGAGGAATGGGGTAGAGATCATATTATGGATTTAAGATAAAGTATGGAATATGATCTTGAAGAATCGATGAAGGCTTTTAGTTGATAAAGTGATAGAATGTGAGAAGAGCATCACCCCAAAATCGAGAAGGTACATTGTTGTGGAGTAAAAGAGTTCATGCAGTTTCAACTAAATAATAATTCGTCCATTCAGTGACATCATTTTACTGTGGTGTATGAGCACATGATGATTGGTGAATCACTCCATATGATATTAAAAAAATATTGAAACTAGGATGACATATATTCACAGGTATTATAAGTGCGCAAAATTTTAATGGAAGTGTCAAACTGGTTTTTAGTTTCGACATAAAACTCTCGGAATATATGGAAAACATCTTAATGATTTTTCATTAGAAATAACCAAGTATTTCGTGAGAAATCATCGATGATAGTTACAAAGTAATAATATTCTAAAGTTGACTTGACACGACTAGGACCCCAAATATCATAATGAACTAAAGCAAAAGGAGATGCAACATTTTTATGTACTCGTTGATAATAAGCGCTACGAGTATGTTTACCTAATTAACACGACCAACACTGAAATGATGAAAGCTTAGAAAAACTAGGAACAAAAAGGTGAATTTTATTATGGCTAGGGTAACCCAAACGTTGATGTGTAAGGTCTCGAGAAGAAATAGAGGCACATGTTATCGGTGGATATATATGATATAATTCTCTGAAATTAGTCTCTGCTCCAATCATCTGTCTTGTAAGTCGATCCTAGACATAAATTAAATTATCATTAAAAATGACTGAACAATCAAGAGTACGAGTGAGCTTATAAATAGGTATTAAATTAAAAGGACAACCAGGAGTGTAAAGGATAAAGTCTAAAGACAAGTTTGGAAGTGGGTGTGCATGACTAAGGATTTGAACTTTTTTTTAGAGTCATCTGCCACAGTGACAGAAGGCAAAGAATCAGAATAAGACAAGTGAGACAAAAATAGATTTACTACCAGTCATATGATCAGAGGCACTAGAGTCAAGAACCCAAAGACCAAGAAAGGATGTAGAGACAAATGCTACAGGATTACCAGATTAAAATAGAAGCAGATGATGATGGTTAATGGCCTACTTTGAATTAAAGGAAATCATTATGATCAGAGGCGGGAATAATAATGTCTTTAGTAATCATGGGTTGAGCAACGACAACGATCTGTGGTTGTCGTTGTTGTTCTCTTTCCTTTGTACGACATTCAGCTTCAATGTGACCGCAACATTTGCAATAGTTACAATCGATAACATGACGTTGACCACCATGTCCTCCAGTTCGCCCATTACGACTATGGTAATGGAAAGAAAGAGCATATGATTCGATGGGAGATGGAGTAGAAACCGGTCCAAAAGCATGATGTGTAACCAATCGCAACGGTTATGCACTAACCGCTTCATAGTTAGGAACAATGGGTCTTGATAAAATATGGTTACGAACGAAATCGAGTTATGGTGGTAGTCTCACAAATGCCAAGATAATGAAATACTTACTATGTTGTTCAACATGAATTATTTCATCTTTTGTGAAAGGCATTAGGATTTTGAAATTTTCCTTCAACGCATCAAGCTTACTCAGATAGGCTTACATATCTATACTTTCCACTTTCAAAGAGTTGAGTTTGAGGATGACACTGTAAAGATTATGGACATCAATATAGTATATTTTCTTCGCCTTTTCCCAAATCTCATAGGGAGCGGCAAAGACTTGATATTGTGCTTGGAGATTAGTTGCTACGAAAAACTATAACACAGTGCATAGAGAAACGTCAGTTTGTTTCCACTTATCGTGTTTGGCGGCGAAAATATTATCTGATTTTGTGGTTAAGTGATCATCATATCCTTGACCATGAAACCACATTTTGACAGCACCAGCCCATATGTTGTACTGGGATGTCTCGGTTAGTTTCTCACAAGGGATAAGTGGAACCTTAGTAAACGTGACGAAATTAATGTCTCTCATAAGAGTTGATGGCTTGAAACGGAAAACTGAGTACACATCTTGAAAGAGGGCATGGCGGAAATGCCGGTGATGGAAACCATAACGGGAAAGGTTGTCGGACACGCTGTCACGCGGTTCTAAAGCGATGGCGCGTGAGTTCCACACGCGAAAGGAGAAGTGACGCGTGAGAGCGCATGATAATACGGGCGACAGGAAGATTTTGAGGACTCGTCGATTTGGAAGAGATGATTCTGGCGGTATAGGTATTTTGCTAGAAGGACGTCAAGAGCAGCTGCGTTAGTGACGGAAGTGCCGATTGTGGTTGAAATAGCGGTTGTTTGGTGGTGACAGGAATGAGTCACCCAAAAAACTTTTTCATCGGAAGACATTGGGTCAACAGGGTAAAGTACGACGAACAGTTGAATTTCAACAAGCTCTAAATACCATCTTAAGAATGTGTGGTTGGACCTAACTCTACCCTACAAAACCGACTAATAGGGTGAGAATTATCCACACTTATAAACATATGTTCAGGTCATAGATTGTCTGATGAGAGACTCTTAACACCATCTTTCACGCCTATAATTTGCGTTTACAGCGTAAAACTAAATGGTGAGTGGTCCAATAAATCTTAAACAAAATTCTGATATTCTATTAAAATATAAGAAAGTGAGAGACGTTTGAATAAATCGTAATTTTAAAAGATACTTACGAAGATTATATTATATAAAAAGATTATATTATATAAAAAGATTATAATCTACGTAGGACTGTTTTATTTAAGGAACCAATTAAAATGACAATGTTGCAAAGGACAGTTTAAATCTCACCCTCCCATTTACTCAATAAAAAAAACAACTTTTCAGAAGCATGACTCGTTAAAGACCAATATGTAAGTGAAATTCTAGATCTAGAAAAATGTCCTAAAACAATCTTTACAACACCCTCAATAATTGAAGTATTCTTTCTTTAGACACCAATTAAGGACTTGACTTTTTGAAGTACAAGCTATCCTATACACACAAAGAAGATGCTGCCTAGACATTGTCAGTTGTTGAATATGATTTGATTTGATTTTGACTCCCACGTTTAACTCTCTTGGATACACGTGGCTGTTACAAAACCATTTACATATAATAATATCTTCATTGCATGGGGCATTGTAGCCTCCTTATTACTACTATACTCTCTTCCATATATTCATGCACCTATACTATACTATATACTACTTATTAACTGATTAACACAACTTGATTATTGTAAATTGTTATACTTAGAAGTAAAAACTTATTATTAGTACTCTCTCATCACTCATTATACACATTACGCTAACTTAATTAAGTACTATATCTTGAAGAAGTTGACCTTGTTCTAAATTACACACACCTATAATCACATTGTTTTGTCTAATTTAATAAAGACCAAGATCCACTCCATAGTACAAAATCATAAACAAGTTTAAAATACAACATAGATATCATGGTTTCGTTTGCATAATATTGCAGCATTAGAAAATTAACATAGTGCCTCTAATACATATCACTCTACTTTGAGATCTGATATACGTGAAGCCAAAACCTCCTGCTCCATCTACAATCAGATATACACATAAATTGGATTAACAGTTACATATAAGTTCTTATATAATAAGTTGTTTTCATAATCTCTCATGAAGAGTTTATCAACATGTGATAATTAAGTTGTATCCCTAAAGTCTTTTATGCAGTGTCATTACTCATAAGTGCTTAGTAAATAAGCTCAAACAAATCAATTCAAAAATCAACTACTTAGAATTCTCATCTTCTTACCTTGAAAAGAGTCTCAAGCTTGCTTTTCACCAAAGAATACTCATGTTTTACTTGTTGCAAACTTTTCAAACACCTAAATATACCATCAAATTTTCTTATTCTATCAGCACAAAACAATATATATATATATATATATATATATATATATATATATATATATATATATATATATATATATATATATATATATATATATATATATATATATATATATATATATATATATATATATATATATAAAAGAATTTTGATATAGAATTTTAATTACCCTTCAATATTTTTTTCTGCGCAAAAGTTGCGGAATGAAATGCAGGCTTTATGAACTGTTTGTGCACCAATGCTGCATTTTCCCCAATAATAATAATCATAAATTTTTTTATACATTTTGTTATTATTTTGTTATATATTAATTGAAGTTAATTCAATTAATTGATAAATTATTTAAAATTAAAAAATTATTACCTGGAGCTGCTACCCTTTAATTGATGAACATAAGCATCCAACCTTTTAAAATCAATGTTTTCTTGACCTCTATTTGTGAAGCATCAAAATATTGTAATGTTAAGTAATAGTTTAAGATATAATAATACAAAATAATAGTAATAACAATGAGAAAATTCTTACAGTGATGTTGTGAGTTCATTGAGAAGCCTCTCAGCATCATCAAAAAAGAGAGTAACAACTTCAACAACAAAATCTGGATTTGTTTCATCTTGAAGCTGTTCAAGCTGCTTAAATTGTTCATCCAAAAAACCCTTTACAAAAAAACATAGCTTAATTATTACCCTAATTTCAATGTAATGTAATGTGCTTAGTTAAATATACTTATAATTAAATTAATTAATTACCTCGTTGAATAGAGAAGCAGTATAATCAAAAAGTTTCTGCTGAAGCTGAACCGCCCTTCCATCCATTAGTTGTATACTACTCTCAGATTTATAACCAGTCACTTAATATCTAAGTTAGGTACAAATTTTCTCAGTTTATATAATGTGTTTTTTTTGTTCTCAAATAGGAAAAAGTATCATGTCTTTTGTTTTATTGTATAATTGTTTTGTAGGGTAACTAATCATTTTTGTCACTTTTAATAAAGTTACATGTATATTTATTTATTTTATAATAGTATTAACTATTTAGTATTTCATTTTTTATACTACTTTTTGCAATAAATTTTTACAGATATTATTCATGATTTTTTTAAGTAATATATTATATTTTGAAAATAGATAGTAAAAAAGAGTTAACTTTTTTCTACAAAAGTTGCGAATGATAAATAGGGAGAGTTTGTTTTTTAATAGAGAAAGATTATTTAAAGTAAGTAATCACTTATTGTGTTTCTATACAGTGATTACTGATTACTCACCAACTTATCGCTAAACGACAGCTTAACCGTTTTTAATGGTTTATATTAATATAGGATTAGGATTACTTTTAGTCCAACAAAAACTTTGGATTACTGGATCGAAACTTACACGTGCCATTTATATTTCCACACACATATATATATATATATATATATATATATATATATATATATATATATATATATATATATATATATATATATATATATATATATATATATATATATAATCGTACCTGATCAGAAGAGATCGCTGACCTGCTACACGTTTGAGTTGTCGGACTGTTGATTTGACGGACTGGGGGAAGGGGGTGTACCTGAAACACACTTGAACTGGGGTGGAAGGGTGGATTTGATTTGACTGTCGAATTCACCATGTTCCTCTCCTTTTTAGGTAAGTGGCTGCCCATGAAGACGAGTAAACGATGTGGTATTTGTTTGACGATGAAGAGGGTCGCCAAGATGAGGCCGTTGTGGATCCTTCGGACAGGTCGGTCGGGGAGTGGGTCGGGGACGAACCCCTCAACTATATGTCCCGGTTCGTGCTCGATGATTCTGACGTTTTTGCCGTGATCGAAGATAGAGAGGTCGGGGCTCCTTGTCAATTCAGAGCATGTCGGCCTCGGGAACTGGACCGTATCTGCTCTCGCTACAACAGGGGCCGATTTCCTCTGTACGAATTTGCGTTTAAGGAGGCGGGGATGCGTCTGCCGTTCACAGATTCCCAGCAGGGAGTGTTCGACCACCTGATGCTGGCGCCGTCTCAACTCCACCCCAACTCCCTCGCTTTCCTTTGTGCATTCGAGATTGTCTGCAATTATCTCGAGCTCGGGGTCACCATCCCGTTATTCTTATGTGTCTTCCACTTGCAGCGGCAGACTGTGGCCGATCGACATAACTGGGTCTCCCTGAAGCAGCCGACCAGGCTCTTCCGGAATACATAGACTATATTAGGGGGTTCAAGGATAGGTGGTTTGTTGTGATGCTGGAGACGGACGAGGCCGTCAATACAATATTCCGACGAGAGGTTACCGTCGTGGACGGCGAGTCCGAGGAGAGCTTCGAGTCCCATTTCCCATTAGAGTGGATGGAGATGCACTTTCGCTCTAGTACAGAGAGTTTTATCTACTGGCCTAACCGCCTGGGCGAAGATGACAGCCTGGCCTTCAAGAAACTGGTCGACTTCGTCGGGCGTCTTCCCCCTCATAAGTCTTGACCTCGGATGGGTAGTACATCTGTGACGTCGACGAGGAGATCCTGACTGAGACTAAGTGCATCAATACGAGGGCCCTCCTCGAGTGCCGGACTGAGGCAGAGGCTCATCGATTTTTAGGTAGCGGGCCGCCTCCTCAGCTTTCCTTTGTTCTGTTTCGGCTTTTCGTACTAACTGTTTTCTTGTGCTTTCCTTGCAGGTGCTATGGGTTCGATAGAAGAACGTGTGACAAAGCTGCTAAAGGGGGGTGCCCGACGTCCCTCGGGGAGGGCTGCTACTTTTAGGAAGGAGGCTGGTGTTGGACCGACGGAGTTGGCTTCGTCTCCGCAAGGTAGTGGCTCCTCGGCTGCACCGTCAGCCTCCAAGAGGCGACGAGAGATTGAAACGTCCCCGATCGACTTGACGGACGGCTCCCCAGATCGGTGTTTTGTTCTCCCCCTTGTTGTCTCCGACTCAATTTCTTTATAGGGGAGAACGTCCCTATCGTGGCTCCTGACGAAGCGAAGAGTATCCTAGCTTCCAGCAAGGAGGCTCGGAGGAAGATATTATCTGATGACCTGACTTCGGTAGTGAGGACGTATAAGACGGCCCTCGTACTTAACGAGGAGGGGTGTTCCTCGGCGGACTTACTACCGTTAGGGTTGAGCCAGTGATATTTGAGGAGGTTTGGTCCAAGCTGGTTACCAACTAGAGGGAGTATTAAAGACAGGACAAAGTCCATCGCGAGCGGATCAGGGAGCTCAAGAAGATGTTGAAGGACTGGGAAGACGAGTTGACCGGGATGAGGAGTCGAGTTGCTGAGCTCGAGGATTTGGTCGCTCCTGCTGAGGAAGAGGCCGACAAGGAGAGGCTGCTGGCTTCCCGACGGGAGATGGTGGAAAAAATCCGACTGCTAGAAGACAACTGCTTCGGGGCCGTCGAGGTGGGCTTCAAGAGTATCGTGGACCAGTTTCGGCTTGCCGATCCCGGCGTGGATTTGGTGACCGAAAGGACTGGCCCCTCCCACCAAATCCAAGGCAACCGCATTGTTGCGCCCAGGGGACCCGAGGACGACGAGGAGGACCAAGCTGCCCAAGACAATGAGGGCCATGTAGATTAGGAGACGGTGGCATGCGCACCCCTTTTGTTTTGTTGGCTTGTGTGCCCGTCTATTTCAGCCTGCGTGCCCTGTTTTTTTATTTTGATTGTTGCTCGGGCCATGTGCCCTTACTTGTAATTCCTTGACAGCTCGATTAGTGCCCGATTATAAAAATATATTGTTTTGCTAAGTGTTTGTGTATGCTCGTTTGTTTACTTATGTATGTTTGTTAGCACGTTTTATATGTTGTTGGGAGTGGTAGCTCGACATTGTTTGTTGTGTCCGGTAGTTCAGGAAACTGGTCGGGTGACCGGGGTGGTTACCTGGTCGGTTACGAAGATGGACCATGATCGTGGTCCTATTTTCGTGGCGTGAATGTCCCATCGCGGGCTGGGTGTTCTGTCTATCTCGGTATGACGGCGGTGACTCTCGATCGATGGGTCCCCATCGAACAGAGTGCTCTTCTCGCATACACAAAAGACAGGTGCTTGTTATCTCATTGAGTTCTGAGAGACGCGCTGGTACCATGTTACGCTCCCGTGGTCGTAAGGTGGTTCGTCGCGGGAAGTGTTTAATTGTAGTACTTTTTTAGCTTCTCAGCATTCTATGGTCGAGCTATCTCGTCCCCGTGTAAGTTCTCGAGGTAGTAGGCCTCGTGCGTCGTCTTGTCCCAGATACGATATGGGCCTTCGCAGTTTGCGGCAAGCTTTCCCTCGCACGAATCTTTCTGGTTTCTCTGTAAGACCAGGTCGCCGACCTGGAACTCACGTTTTATGACCCTGCTGTCGTAGCGGAGGGAAATTTTCTGTTTTAGCGCGGCTTCTTGGAGAGATGCCCCCGAACGTATTTCCTCGACTAGGTCAAGCTCATCTCTAAGGGCCTCGTCGTTGGCCTCCTCCTCGAGAGGGGATTCAGTTCTTCTGGACGACTCCCTTATTTCTACCGGGATCACCGCCTCGGTCCCGCAGGTCAGCCGAAAAGAGGTTTCCTAGGTTGTCAAGTGGGGCGTCGTTCTATAAGCCCAGAGTACGTTGTGTAGCTCCTCGACCCACCTCTTCTTGGCGTCCCCGAGATGGCGTTTCAGGCCCCGCAAGATAACTCTATTCGCGGCCTCCGCCTGGCCGTCCGTTTACGGGTGCTCGACTAACGTGAAATGTTGCTTTGTCCCAAGCTTGGTCACAAAGTCTTGGAAGATCTTGTCAGTGAACTGTGTAACGTTGTCGGTCACGGTGGCCATGGGAACGCCGAACCTGGTGAGGATGTTCCTCTTGTAGAAGCGGAGTATGTCGTGCACCGTAATTTTGGCGAGGGCCTCGGCCTCGATCCATTTGGTAATATAATCGATGCCGACTATTAGGTACTTGTTCTAATAGGAACATATGGTGAATGGGCTGAGGATATCCATCCCCCACCAGGAAAACGACCAAGGGGAGGATAGGGACTTGAACTCGCTCGGGGGGCAAGGTGCATGTCCTCGTGCCGCTGGCACCTGTCGCATTTCTTCACGTGTTCCTTCGCATCCTGCTGCATCGTCGCCCAGTAGTACCCAGCTCGCAGAGCCTTCCATGCCAAAGATTTTCCTCCTGGGTGTTGCGCATTGATGTCCTCGTGAATCTCTTGCAAGATGCTCGGGGCTTGGGCTTCGTCGACGCATTTAAGGAGGGGAATCGAGAAGCCTTTCCGGTATAGTCTGCCTTCGAGCAGCATGTAGGAGAAGGCTCGATGTTTGACCGTGTTGGCCTCCTTAGCGTCGTCGGGGAGGTGTCCCGTGCTAAGGTAGGTATGTATCAGGGTCATCCAACAGTCGCTGTCCCCGATGGCGTTGACTTCGAGCGCCGTTTTTGCCTTCTCTGTGCTTGGCCGTGCGAGGACCTCCTGGACAACGGATTTGTTCCCGCCCTTCTTTGTGCTCTCCAGTTTTGAGAGGACGTCTGCCCGAGTGTTATGTTCGCGGGGAACGTGTTGCACCTCGGCGGAGTCGAAACTCTTCATCCGTTCCCTTATAAGGGCCATATATTTGGCCAGATTATCGTTCTTCGCCTGGTACTTGCCCCGGACTTAGGAGGCAACTAACTGGGATTCTGTGAAGATTTTTATCTCCTTCGCTCCGAGGTCTTCCTCTAGGCGGATTCTAGCCAAGAAGGCTTCATACTCGGCCTAATTTTTCATCGTCAGGAAGGCCAATGTAAGAGAAACTTCCACGGCCGTGCCTTCCTCGTTCTCCAAGATAATGCCCGCACCGCTCCCCGAGGAGCTCGAA